TGTCCAACTCAGTTTGAGGGTCGCAATCGGATCTCTGCTGAGGATGCCATGAAACATCCATTCTTCCTCAGCCTGGGGGAGCGGATCCACAAACTTCCTGACAGTGAGTGGAGCTGGGGAATGGATGGCTCAAGTTGGAGTTAGGGAGCAGAACCATTGAAATTTAGGGTGCTAGTTTGTACCATGTCTAAGAAGGAAACAGCCTCATGCACATGTGACAGGTTGTATTTATTAGGAAGAAATTTTGTTTTTATCTTGGACCTTTTTATGAGATTCTCATATCGTACATATAGTTGCAATATCCAAAAAAAAGTCTACACCAGTTTTTGCAAACTAAACACCCATGTAATTTTCAGACCATTCAAAACCAATGGGAAAATTCCCTTGTAGCTTCCTTATATTGTCTTTAGCATTCCAGGTCCCTTCCTGGAATAATAGCGCTAGCTGGGGGGGGGGTGCATTCGGGAGATTCTTTGAGGTAAGGTTGTACTAGATGTTAATGTTTAGGCTTCTGTACTGGCCTGTCCTTGGGGTTCTGACAGGAAACATCCTCAACTGCAGCCACTAAGAGCACCTCCTATGCACATTCACTATGTTCCCTTTAAAAAGAGCCCTGCCCACCTCCCATCTCTTGCTCTGTCTCTTTTCTCTTCTCTTCTCCCACTTCTGTCACCAGAGGGTAGTCTCCCCATTCCCCTCCCCACTTTTTCCCATTCCCTCCCCCCCATAACAACCCCTCCATGCAAACCCTATTGCATGGCATCTTTCTCTCATCTTTTTAAATTAAAAGACTAGGTAGCCCTTGGCTTGTGGTGCTGTGGTGTTTTGAGACAAATATTACTGTGGATCAGGTAGACCTTAGGCTTGCTACATAGCTTAGGATGACCTTGAACTCCTCTTCTTGCCACCACCTTCAAGTGCTGAGATTAGGTTGTGTGTCACCATACTTGACTTTTTTTTAAATATTTATTTATGTATGTATGTATGTATGTATGCACTATTCTTTCTGTGTGTATGCCTGAAGGCCAGAAGAGGGCACCATTACAGATGGTTGTGAGCCACCATGTGGTTGCTGGGAATTGAACTCAGGACCTTTGGAAGAACAGGCAATGCTCTTAACGGCTGAGCCATCTCTCCAGCCCCTTGACTTTCTTTTTTTGAGACGAGACAGGGTTTCTCTGTAGCTTTGGAGCCTGTCCTGGAACTAGCTCTTGAAGACCAGGCTGGTCTCGAACTCACAGAGATCTGCCTCCCTAGTGCTGGGATTAAAGGCGTGCACCACCACTGCTCGGCCATACTTGACTTTCTATAAAGATTTTTAAAAACCTTACTTTGGTGGGCTATTATTTTTATTTTGGGGGGCAGTCTTAACCCTTTCACTGTACTGCCTAGGCTAGCCTGGAACTTGTGACAATCTTGTCTCGGACTCCTAAGAATTGAGATTACAGGTTTGAGCCACTATGCCTGGCTTAAAAATCTCAACACACGGAAGACAGAGGAATGTGAATTTCTGTAAATTCAAGGCCAGCCAGTTCTACATAGTGACTTCCAGCAGAGCCAGGGTTATAAGGACCATGTCTCAAAAACAAAAGTTCTTACACAAAAATTGATCACCTTTCATATCTACCCACAGAATTAATGATTAAATCCCAAACCATCACCTTTCTTGTAGATTTTTAGGTAGTATTTATATTAGCATTATCATACCTGATAAACTTAAAACTCTTTTGTCTCAATGAGTGGTCCAGTAGTAAATAGTCCATGTCTCATCTTCTTTAGTTATAGACATTTTGATAGAAGAAAGTCTTAAAGAAGGAGAAACTTGTTCTGATTTGCAGAGTGGGGTGGGTCATGTAGGGTTTTGTTCTGGGTAGACCCGTGGATCATCTTCCACTTACATGTCTCTGTCTCTTCATCCACAGCTACTTCCATATTTGCACTAAAGGAGGTACAGCTACAAAAGGAGGCCAGTATTCGGTCCTCTTCTATGCCTGACTCAGGTAACTGTAGCCCTCCCCTCCTCTTGTTCCACCTATCTACCTGCTTGCCTACTAACAGCCATTCATTCTGTTTTCCGCTGTAGGCAGGCCAGCTTTCCGTGTGGTGGATACCGAGTTCTAAGCCAAGATCTAAGCCACAGACCAAGGTCCCAGCAGGCAGCAGCTGGGGGGATGCCACACCCCTCACAGGGCAGTCCCCATCTGCAGCCCTCCCTGCTTGTTGCCTGCCTACCTGCCTGAGCCACACTTTCTTACGAACTTGTCCCCTGCCACCTGCCTAAACACCCAACCACTGGCCTGTCAACCATCGGCCTGTCTGCTGGGTGCTAACAAAGCTCTCACCACTAATTTGCTTGATTGTGTCTCTGTCTTAGTAGTTGCCGGCGGACGGAATGGCCATGTCAGTCTCCCACATTGAGGCTAGGCCTTCCCCTCTTCATCACGTTCTCCCACAGGACCACTACCCTATGGCCAGCCAGAGGTTTGGAGCTAGCCCAGGCCAGGGCTCTTGATTGACTTTGACTAGAAGGTGGTGATGGCCTTGGGTCTGAGGCATCCTCTGCCTGTGTTTCCACCTGCCCCACCTGCCTCTGTTGTTAGTTTCTTTCCATTGTTTTTTATTATTATTTTAAATGAGGTTCTCACTTTTTAATGCAATATCTCTGTATAAAGACTGGTTGGGCCCTACTCCCTGAGTGTTGGCCTTCCTACAGTATTTTGTGCAATGAAGTCCCACTCCTCTGAAAGGCTATTCAGATCCTGACCATCACTAGACCCTGGGACTGACTATGGGAAAGCATGCCTCAGCCACTTTTCTTCCCATCTAGTGTCCCCAGCTATAGGGGGACCTGAAAACTACCAGAGACTGGGAGATGGACATTTTGGGGGCCTGTTATTCCCTCCTTCGGTCCTGTAGCCGGGGCCTCCTTCCTTCTCAGGGTCTCCCCAGCCCAGCTCTGCCTAGCCCTCCTGCCCTGTCCTACTCGGTGCTGTTGAGTAGGGGCTCTGCCAGGAATTGACCAGCTTAGTGAGGAGCCATATATAGTATGTATTTGAGCACAAGCAGGGGGACATGAGTGGGAGCTTGTGCCTGGTGGTTATATCCCAATCCCTGGGAGTGTAAAGCAGGGCAAGAACAGTCTCCTGGATGGATGGTTTGCTCCCCTTCCACCACCCTAAGCCTTGGGACCCTTAAGTGGGGTGGGAGGGCAAGGGAGGGTGCCCTTCTAGTGGGGTTTGGGGGGATTGGGTTCCTGAATGCATTATAATCGCTGTATGAAATATTAAAAAAAAAGTCTAAAGTGAAAAGTCTGGTTGTAAATCATCATAAAGGCAAGGGGGCTCAAGCTCGGTTGATTACTGGGACCTTGGTGAATTTATACCTGGTCCCATAAACAAGAAGCATTGGGAAGGAGTTTCTGGAAGTGTAGTGGAACTGTGAAAAAAAACTTTGGAGGAATTGCACATAGAACGGGGATGAGTTGATGCAATAGGTCAGGTTTAATTATCTTGATGGAAATTAATATCCTGTAGTGCTTATCACAGCAAAGAAATTAAAATAGTGCTGAAGTTACAGTCTAGCATAGAGCATGGCACACCTGTAACCCTGTACTCCTAGCATTTGAACTTCTAAGGCAGGAAGACCACCATGAGTTCAAGGCCAACCTGAGCTTCATATTCAGAATTGAGACCCTATTTCAGAAAAACACCAAAAAAAAAAAAAAAAAAAAACCCTGGCACATTCAATGGTTCTCAAATGTTTTGGCTTCAGATTTCCTTTATATAAAGGTTGAGGACACCCAAAGAATTTTTGCTTATTCTGAAATACTCTCTGGGTAATTCCATTAATGTATAAAAATGAAAGCGAAGATACTACAAAAATAGTTTTGACTTTATGAAACCCTAGAGGTTTCTTAAGCTGATAGCCTGTGTGTGACCTGTCTTTTGAGGATCTGTCTGGTGTTTAAAGTCACAGTTCTGCACTAGGTCTGCACTGCTATAGCACATTTTAGCTGGGTACTAATGATTTGACATTTTTGGCTCTCCGCTTCTCCCATTGTTAATCGTGAGCCAAAAAATACAGTACCTGCCATCATCTAAACCCAACAAGTCACTTAATCTGCGCAAACTGGCTATATTGTTATGCCTCCAACAAATGTGGTTTAGTGCATCAGATTTGTCTGGTGAGTAACTCTAGTTCAGGAATCCACACTTTGGAGGCTGATGCAGTTGGATCAAGGCAAATCAGATGCCAGCCTGGGCTTCAAAGAATTGGAGGCAGTTCTGGGCAGTTTAGCAAAGGTCTTGTCCAAAAACAGACAGACAGGCACACAAGCGCACAGACACACTCTAGCTCAGTTGTGGAGCTCTCAGGAGCTGGTAAACTTTTTGAATTTGAGTTAAAAAAAAAATTTAGAGCCAGGCAGTGATGGTACAGGCCTTTGATCCCAGCACTCAAGAGGCAGAGACAGGAGGAACTCTGTGAGTTTGAGGCCAGCCTGATCTAGAGAGCGAGTTCCAGGACAGCCGGGGATATACAGAAACCCTATCTCCGGAAAAACTTAAACAAAAACAACGAAAATAAAAAAGTTAACTATTTTACTCTGTGTGTATGGATGTTTCCCCTGTATGCATGTATGTGCAACTTGTGCATTCCTGCTGATCTCCTGAAATTGGTGTTTTGGATGGTTGTGAGCCACCATGTGGGTACTGGGAATTAAAGAGCAACAAGTGTCCCTAACCGCTGAACCATCTCTCCAGCCCCTACATTTGTTTTTGATGGACAAGAAGGGTAGTGCAATAAAAGGTAATTCTACTTAGGCTAACAAAAATGCTGCTTTCACAATAGGGGGCTGCAGTCCTCAACAGAACAAGGGGCAGGAAGACTTGCTATAAGCATTCTTTGTGAGGCCCTAAACACACATCTTTGCTCATCTTGAAAACCTTTGGCCTCCACCTTCCATGAAAAGACCTAGTATTAGAATTACACAAGGCACTTGTGTCTTAGTTCCAGACTGGAGGGTTAACTCCTGGCCCACCACCCAGTTTCTGCCTAATGGTGACGTTTCAAAGATGGCAGTAGCCCCCTGGTTGTTGGGGGGCTCTGCTTCCGTTTCCGGGACAGAATCCGGAAGTGCCAGTTGAGGGTCCTCTTCCTATTTTCAGTTGCGTCGGCAGCTGGAGGAGAACGGTCGGTGATGGCGGCGGTCACAGCGGACTCAGCTGCAGCTGCCACCCCGGCCTCCGCTGAGGACGGAGAGAGACAGCGTGAGGCCATGCCAGGCCTGGACGAACAGTGGCGCCAAGTCGAGAATGGGCGAGAGCGTCCACTGCGAGCTGGCGAAAGCTGGTGAGGCTGGGCTTCCACGAAGCCTTGGCCAAGGGGACCGTGGGGGCGTTTATATCCGCGGGGTACGAAGAAGCGGTGCGAGGCAGGGAAGGGGCTGGTGGGCAGGCGGAGGTAAGGGGCGTGGGGGTGCTAGTGAATGAACCCCAGCGTTTGGGGAAGAGGCGGGGCGGAGGGAAAGGCCTCGGAGGCAGGGGGACGACAGCATCTTCTGGGGGCGGGTGAGGGGACTGCGGCTTGGAGCCTTTCTGGGCTCCGGCCTTGGCTGGGGGCGTGGCGTGGGTTACGTAACGTTGCGTCGCCTGGGAAGCAGCCGAGCTCCGTGGCGTCAGCAGAAGAGCAACTGCCTAGCCTATAGCTGGGGCCGAGGGGCCGAGGGCGGGGCTGGGGCCGAGGGCGGGGCCGGGGGAGGGCGCCCGGCTCCTGGGAACGACGCTAGGCGCTGACGTAGGGCGAAATGTGGTGCAGAAGGGCGGCGCCTAGGGCAGAAAATGGCGCCTGCAAAAGAGCAAAGATTGTGACGCGATAGTTTATGCTTTCTGAAATGCATGGTAGTCAAGGTCTCCTTCCTCGGACAGGAGAAAGTGCAGGTGATGACAAAAGAAGGTTTTTTGAAAAAAAAAAAATTCCTATTTAAGAAATTTTTGTAATCAGTAGAAAATGGTTATTTAAAAAGAATCCACAGCTTTTGCTTTTACTGATTTTTTTCTTAAAACTGCTAATAATTGCCTCAAAATTTACTGCTCCCGGGTTCGTATTTCTCTCCGAGTTGCGCCTCTTTTTTTAAACTGTGAAATTCTTAAGACCTACAAAGATGATAGTATAAAACATATTTATATAAATTGATGGACATCCTGCTCAAAGAAATGGTTCGTACGCTTCAAACATGGCAAGGTCCTGAAAGACATGCTGAAGAATGGTTCCAGATTGCGGTTACAGATTGAAGGAATTAATACAGTTTAACAAGTCACAACTAAATACGACTTCTGATCCTCAATTGGATCCTAGAACAAGGAAAAATAAATTATTTTTAAAAATCAGGGTTCTTTCTCATAATTTCTTTCACTGTAAACTTCATTGGGAAAAAATCGGTGAGATTTTACTTAGGCCAGTAGATAAAATATTGCTACTGATAATTTCTTATTTGTGATAATTGTAATATGATAATGAAAGAATATCCCTTGTTGGATGAAAAGTGCATGCTAAAAATTTAGGGATAAGGAACCCTGGTGTAAGCAACATCAAATGATTGAAAAACTAGCCTATGTAAAAATACATTTGAGAGGGAGATGATTATAAAAATATATGTCAGAGAATGCAAAGTTTAGTTAGACAAGAGGAACAAATTCAAGAAACCCATGCACAAAATGGTGATAATTGCTTAATAGATTTTACATGTTCTTAACCCAAGAAAACCTGTGACACGATTTCTATGTTAAGTAGTAGCTTGTTTTAGTGTTTTCAGTGTATAGATCAACACATCATGCTGTATACCACAAATGCACATATTTTTGTCCATTTTAAGATAAATAAAATTGACCCAAAAATGATATGGGAAAAATAAGAATAGAGCAAATGGATGAAGTGTGTTAGATTTGGGGAATCTAAGGGCATACAGAGAAGTCTTTGTATTATTTTGCCCCCTCTTTTTTGGAGGCAGAGTCTCAGGGAACTCACTATGTCTACCAGGCTGGTCTTTTTTTTAATATTTATTTATTTATTATGTATACAATATTCTGTCTGTATGTCTGCAGGCCAGAAGAGGGCACCAGACCTCATTCCAGATGGTTGTGAGCCACCATGTGGTTGCCGGGACTCGAACTCAGGACCTTTGGAAGAGCAGGCAATGCTCTTAACCTCTGAGCCATCTCTCCAGCCTCTACCAGGCTGGTCTTAAACTCAGAAATCTGGCTGAAATTACAGGCATGCTCCACTATGCCTGGCTGCTGCTGCTGCTACTGCTTCTTATTCTGATTTCTGTTTTCAATGAGGTTATTTCAAAGAAAAAAATTGCAAAGTTTTATGTGTGGATTCATCGCCCATGTGAAGATACATAATATTATCTTTAAAAAAATCCTGTGCTCCTCTCAGATGGAAATTCTTCTCTCTGCTTCATGAGAAACTGTTACCCTAAATTTTGCATTAAAGGACTCTTTTCACATGTTTCATTATCATACTTATATGTATATATATGCATATATATACATAGAATGTTTATTTTTTAATTTTTTTAAATATTTTTTAAATATTTACTTAGTATACAATATTCTGTCAGTGTGTGTGCCTGCAGGCCAGAAGAGGGCGCCAGACCTCATTACAGATGGTTGTGAGCCACCATGTGGTTGCAAGCCACCATGTGGTTGCTGGGAATTGAACTCAGGTCCTCTGGAAAAGCAGGCAATGCTCTTAACCTCTGAGCCATCTCTCCAGCCCTACATAGAATGTTTATAAAATAGACTGGATGCATACCGTGAGCCCTTATAGGACATGATAAATGGTTATCTGTATGATGTAATTTGAGACATTAACGTTGATCTGTTGACTATAGCTCTGTCTGCCAGGTTTCTCAAACGGTAAGATGCTGTTTTCTTAAGCAGTGATTTTTTAAAATACATACATACATGCACACACACACACACATACACACACACACACACACACACACACAGACTTCAAACTTGACCTTTAGAGATTACAATGCTGACACTTGATTTTTTTTATGGNCGTCCATCTGTTCCCCAGGATGTTCCCCAGGATGTCTAACAGCTTACTGTCTCGTGCATAAATGGTAAAATCCTGAGAGACTTGCAAAACTTGGAGGCTTCCATTCTACTTCCATTCTGACTGTTTTCTCTCATCTCTCTGATTACCAGCCCACCAGACCAGCCCCTCCCTCTCGGGGCCATCCGTATTAAACTGTTGCTGTTCTTTACATTTTAGGGCCTTTTGTAGGTTTTCCCACTTTACAGAGGTCCTAAATAACAGTGCCAGTGAAATGGGTATGCGTGATTGAGGGGATAAATTACAATTCCAAAATGAAGGATATAGTGATTTTATGCCATTATATCATAGTTCTCCAAAAAGAAATAGCCTCGGGCTGGAGAGATGGCTCAGAGGTTAAGAGCATTGCCTGCTCTTCCAAAGGTCCTGAGTTCGAGTCCTGGCAACCACATGGTGGCTCACAACCATCTGTAGTGGGGTCTGGTGCCCTCTTCTGGCCTGTGGACATACATGCAGACAGACTATTGTATACATAATAAATAAATAAATAAATAAATAAATAGATAAATAAATAAATAAATAGAAATAGGCTCGATCCATTCTTTGCTAATGGCCTTTTAAATTACCCTGCCAGTAGTGGATCTTCTCTGGAGTGAGGAAAATGTTTTGGAACTAAGTAGAGGTGGTGGGTACACAATATTGTGAATGTACTAAATGTTAATGAATTGTTTGTTTTAAAAATGGGTTTTTTATGTTAATTTCACATCATTAAAAAAAATTACCACACCAGTGTTGGTTGAATATTAAAGCCGATTTGTTTCTCCTGTTGGAATGGTTACAAATATGCCTTGCCAAGCTTTGGATGCTTATCTAAATTATGTAAGAGCAAAGTATCTCAATGTTCTATATATATTTGCTGCCCTAGTTGGGAAATACGTATTTATAAAGCATTTAAACTCAAGGATTAGCTCCAAATTGTGCATCTCTGTCAGTATTATCTACGTCTCCCATCTTTGCTTGGTTCTATAGCAGATTTAATTAATTAATTTGGTTGTCGTTACTGATTAAACGTCTTAGATGCTTTTATTTGGGGGTGGGCACACCATGTGACTTTGCTGAGGAGTCCAAAGAACTGTATCAGTCTCCTCCTTCCACTGTGTAGGTCCTGGGGGATCAAATTCAGGTCAGCAGGCTTGGTGGCAAGCACCTGGACCATCTTACCATCTTGCTTTCTACCTTATTTTTTTTAAATATTTATTTACTTATTATGTATACAATATTCTGTCTGTGTGTATGTCTGCAGGCCAGAAGAGGGCGCCAGACCACTTTACAGATGGTTGTGAGCCACCATGTGGTTGCTGGGAATTGAACTCTGGACCTTTGGAAGAGTAGGCAATGCTCTAACCACTGAGCCATCTCTCCAGCCCCTACCTTATTTTTTGATACAGGGCTTCTGGTTGAACCCGGAAGCCTGTTTCAGCTAGACTGGCCAACAAACCTGTCTCTACTTCCTTGCCCCAAGGGCCGAGACTTTTTGCTCAGTTTTTACGTAGATACTGAGGATCTGAACACAGCAAACCACTTGACCCAGCCCTAAAGGTTTTGAGATCACATTTAAATCCTCTAGTTTAGTTCTTTAATATTTATTTATTTATTTATTTCGTACACAATATTCTGTCTGTATGTCTGCAGGCCAGAAGTTGGCACCAGACCCCATTACAGATGGTTGTGAGCCACTATGTGGTTGACGGGACTTGAACTCAGGACCTTTGGAAGAGCAGGCAATGCTCTAACCACTGAGCCACCTCTCCAGCCCCGTCCAGTTAGTTTTATAAGAACACAGTGGTAAAGATGACTAGGTCGCCCGTCCTCCTCATATAGTTCAAGGTCAGCCTGGGCTACATAAAACCCTGTCTCAACACCAAAAATAAGATGAATTAAGAGTATGTAGCCAGGTGGTGGTAGCACTCGCCTTTCATCCCAGCACTCTGGAGGCAGAGGCAGGCAAATTCTAGGACAGCTTAGTCTATACAATGAGTTCTAGGACAGCCAGGGCTACATAGTAACACTTTGTCTCAAAATAAGAAAGAATGTTAAAGAGAAGAAATGACTCAACAATTAAGAATAGATACTGCTTCCAGAGGCTCCGAGTTTGCTTCCCAGCATTCACAAGCACCTGCAACTCTAGCTCCAGGGAATCTCATGTCCTGGCCTCTAAGAGCGCCTGAGATACTCTCACACATAATTAAAAGTATGAAAAAGAAAGCACTAAGAATTGGTAATAGTTTGGTGACAAAAAAAATGACTGTAGGGCTGGAGAGATAGCTCAGAGGTTAAAAGCATTGTCTGCTCTTCCAGAGGTCCTGAGTTCGAGTCCCGGCAACCACATGGTGGCTCACAGCCATCTGTCATGGGGTTTGGTGCCCTCTTCTGGCCTTCAGGCACACAGACAGAATATTGTACACATAATAAAAATAAATAAATATTTAAAAAAAAAAAAAAGAGCAGAGAGAATAAGGGTCGGGATCCTGCTTGCTTGCCCTGTTTCCCCTCTTGTCTGAACTTCATGCATGCTAAGCAAGAGCTCTATCACAAAGGCAACAACCCCACCACGAGTCTTATTTAGTCATCGGTTACCCAGTTTAGATATAGCATGCAGGCATTGACCTAGTTTTTTGTGCTGTGGTCCATTTTAAATTCCAGAGCCTTTGTGGTGTTATTTTTATCTGCTTGGTCTATCTGGCAGTTTCTGAACTCCCACTTGATGTCTTTGTGTGTGTGTGAGCGATTTCTACAGGCCACGTCTCTGGGTGTTTCATGGTAAGAGAATGTGATAAGATTTCTCTTCCCAGGGCCTTCAGTCTGTCCAGATGTCTCAACAAAAAAGGAAGTCCCAGGGCCCAGGAGATGGTTCAGCAATAAAGATGCTTGCTATAGAATCCTGAGTTCAGGGCTGGAGAGATGGCTCCGTGGTTAGAGCATTGTCTGTTCTTCCAGAGGTCCTGAGTTCGAGTTCCGGCAACCACATGGTGGCTCACAACCATCTGGAATGAGGTCTGGTGTCCTCTTCTGGCCTGCAGGCATACAGACAGACAGAATATTGTATAAATATTGTATACATAATAAATAAATATTTTTAAAAAATGATTATAGTAATTTTATATGAAAGACCCAAATCTTAATCAACTTTTGATATGTTGGCCACAGGAAAATAGGCAGTAAAGAGCTTACTCGTAAACTTATTTAAATAAATTTGATAGAGCCAAGTTATATTTATTATCTGTGACTTTTTATATCTTGTGGGATGGTGGTGATAGGCTGGCGATAGGAGCAATGAAAGAATTCACCGAGATTGCCAGGCGGTGGTGGTGCATGCCTTTAATCCCAGCGTTTGGGAGGCAGAGGCAGGCGGATCTCTGTGAGTTCGAGGCCAGCCTGGTCCACAGAGAGAGTTCTAGGACAGCCAGGACTGTTACACAAAGAAACCCTTAAAAAAAGAAAAAGAAGGGCTGGAGAGATGGCTCAGTGGTTAAGAGCATTGCCTGCTCTTCCAAAGGTCCTGAGTTCAATTCCCGGCAACCACATGGTGGCTCACAACCATCTGTAAAGAGGTCTGGTGCCCTCTTCTGGCCAGCAGACATACACACAGACAGAATATTGTATACATAATAAATAAATATTAAAACAAAAACTCAACATCCTTAGCCAGCAAGGAAATGCAAATCAAAACGACTCTGAGATTCCTCATTACATCAGTCAGAATGACTNTTTTTTTCTTAAATATTTATTTATTTATTTATTATGTATACAATATTCCTCATTATTTTTATATTTATTTATTATGCATACAATATTTTAATTTTTATATTTATTTATTATGTATACAATATTCTAATTTTATATTTATTATGTATACAATATTCCTCATTATTTTTATATTTATTTGTTTATTATGTATACAATATTCTGTGTGTATGTCTGCGGGCCAGCAGAAGGCGCCAGACCCCATTACAGACAGATGGTTGGTGAGCCGCCATGTGGTTTGCGGAACTCGAACTCAGGACCTTTGGAAGAGCAGGCAATGCTCTTTAACCACTGAGCCATCTCTCCAGCCCGAGAGCTTTTTCTGTAAGAGGCAGCTTTCGCTGAGGCAGGAGTGTTGTGTGCAGGCAATGGAACTTTTTGTTTGTTTGTTTGTTTTGTTTTGTTTTTCGAGGCAGGGTTTCTCTGTGGCTTTGGAGCCTGTCCTGGAACTAGCTTTGTAGACCAGGCTGGTCTCGAACTCACAGAGATCTGCCTGCCTCTGCCTCCGAGTGCTGGGATTAAAGGTGTGCGCCACCACCACCGCCTGGCTTGTAAGCACCTTCTTAATTCCAGCATTTGGGAAGTTGAGGCAGAAGGATCCGCAGAGCTTCAGGCCAACTTGAGCTACATATATAGTATGTTCCAGGCCTGTCTGGATGGCACAAGACCTTGTTAGGAAAAAGAGGGGAATGAATGAAAAAGAAAATTGAGTAATCTAATATCCAAATATGAATTTCACAGAATAAATTTTGGTTTTACTTTTTTTTAAATGCTGCTGAAAACTTTCTTTAAATTTAATTTAAATTTAATTTAAATTGTAGTGGATTGGTGGTTAATTCTGCAAGGGATGAGAAGCTGTATAACTAGCTCCTAAATAATCATATGACACCTTTGTTGTCTGTCTGGGTTCCAGGTTCCTTGTGGAGCAGCGTTGGTATAAACAGTGGGAGACGTACGTGAAGGAAGGGGACCAGGGTGTGGACGCCTTTCCTGGCTGTATCAACAACGCTGGACTCTTCGAAGGTACCGAGCTTTGGCCTCTTCCCCATCAACATTGCCCTGAGTTCTGTTCCTCTCTGTTCCCACAAGTAACCGTACTCCCGTTCTCTAAGCTTAGTCGTTTGCGGGGTGGCCAGAGTGAAGAGTTCCTTTCTTTTTTTTTTTTTTTAATAATATTTATTTATGGGCTGGAGAGATGGCTCAGAGGTTTGCTCTTCCAAAGGTCCTGAGTTCAATTCCCAGCAACCACATGGTGGCTCACAACCATCTGTAATGGGGTCTGGTGCCCTCTTCTGGACTGCAGACATACATACAGACAGAATATTGTGTACATAATAAGTAAATAAATATTTCTTTAAAAAATATTTATTTATGCCGGGCGGTGGTGGCGCATGCCTTTAATCCCAGCACTTGGGAGGCAGAGG